TACAGTCCTCATAGGGCTTAACTTATCTTACCTGCCGTCAAATCTGTGCTTAAGGAAGTCGAACAGTGCTTTCTGCATCATGTCTGTTACCTGCAGCAACAAAGACAAGTTATGTGCACAAATTACTATTATTTTATTTTAATTTGTTTAGGTGATTACTGGGTTGCGTTGTTGGGATGAACCCCGCTATGACCGTCAACACGAATAATCCCCTGTCCATGAGGCAAAATATAGGAGGACAAGAGCGATGGAATTTCTTCTCTTGCCAAAAACAACTGATATCCGATGCCTTATCTGTCCTTTTACTTACAGTGGAATAAATAAATCAGTGACTTTAGGGATTGAGAAAACTTGACTGTTACTCGTATTTTTTTAGTTTTTTCCTTTTGTCTATTGCACATTTAAAATGTATCCATCACATTGTCCAAAATATCTTATCGGTTATATTCTATTCTATTCGAAAAGCAATCAGTACATCAAATGAATGTAATCTGCCAATTACACAACATATTTCCATCTGACCTCTTAGTCTCCTCATTAGTCTGTCTGCAATCTGCATGTGAACGTGGGCGATGACACACTCACAATTAATTGCGCCAACAGCGAGTTATTTTGGGCATCCGAGGGGAAGTCGTCTCTTTCCTGTAATCTTGTCATTATTGCACTGACAAACATTTAATCATCACTTTTTTATTTGCTTTAATTCTAGGTTTCCACTCAGAGAACCTGACTCAGCTATATTCAGCTCACCTCGTAACCCTTGAGTGAGGGTCCCACCAGCACCACAGGCCTCATGGAGGGGACCACATCATACGGGGGGATGTGCTCCGTCTGTTAACGCAAAGACATTTGATCAGCGGCGGTTGATTCGTCGCAAACAAAGGAGCCAGAATGACTCCCCAGAAAAACACAGAGAAACAGATAAAAGCATGTGGTAAATGGGAGGCTGACATACGTGTATTTCCAAGTTGGGACATGTAGCAAATGATAATGTGCTGATATAAAAACATATTGACTGAGTTTACGTCACTTTTCCTGATAATTACTGTTTTACCTTCCTCATTTGCTACACAGATGGATGGATATGATTTACTACAGTCGGACCCATTCACACAATACCAGACCAAGGATCACAATAAGAAAAAAGCACCACAACACCGCACCATGCCAAAGTGGTAACACTAGATACTACACAGTTGTGTAAATCGTAGGAACATATGCGACAAAGCCCTAAAATATTGATTAAAATGGATTGATTCCAATAATTAAAAAGTATAGAGTATTTCTTTGTCATGTGTAGATGGTCAAACAAATCTAAAGCCACATTTTATAGACAAATTATTCTGTTTTAGTTTAAGTAGTAGTAGAATTTCATGAATCTCAAACTGTTTCTTAGATACTGATTAGATAGAGATTTGTTTGTCTGAAAACTAATAAAATGAATATAATAAATATCAAAAACACCATAATAATATGATATGATATAAAATAAGTAAAAAAGAATTATTCGAAACTTTTTGCCTCAGTGTCGCACATTTGTAAAAAAATTATAAAATTATAGCTATAGAGTTAAATTTCAAATTTTGTTAGATGATTTTGGTCAGAAAATGAGTTTTTAATCTAAATTAATTTTTTTCTGAATATTTATGTTAAGTTTTAGCCTCTTCTACTATGTTTGTTGCTGATCTATTTTGTGATGTATTTTTATTTGACCTTTTAGAAGACGTTGTCTGCTGTTGCAGTTTTGACTCTTAGCACTAACGTACTTTGGCATCACGCTGATGGTGATGATGCGGCACCGTATACTTCAGTAGAGCTGAAGTATTCCGTGCTCTCGGATGTGGCACAAGCTCGCAACTTCCCATCAGACTAAAATGTCTCGGAGCGACTCGTTCCTGTCATTCTATGATGGCGGCGACAACAACAGTCGAGTAGATGGTAAACGAGTGTTTTGTTTTTTTACCGTCACCAACTTACCACTTTCTGTTTCTGCTTTCCTGTGGGAGGGGAGAGAAGACAGTGACAGTGTCATCAGTAGCTGCGGTGGATTAGAGGCATCACCATAACATCTCTTCCACACATGAGCCTAACAAAAATAACCAGCACCATATTATATAAAATTAAATATGTACAAGAGTGTTTCTATTGTCCTATTGTTATATTCACAAAGTCACATGAGTGCACTTCAGAGGGGGGGTCATAGTCTTGGCGTTGGGTTCACACTGGGGTAAGCTCCAGTCTCAGAGCGCCTGCAGTCCTCAACTGGAGGAAGAGGAGGATGATGGGAAAATGTACCAACAACTCTAGGCAGTGAACTTATGCTCTATATGCAGAGAGGCTTTAGAGTCTTATTCTCGCTATGCCGCAGCGGTTCAGGAGGCTCGGCTCTGAGCCGGCCGCTAACAGCCCTCTTCCCCCGCCCCCGTCCGGTGCTCTCACCTGCCGAGGATATGAGGGGTCGGATAGAGGCCGAGACCTCATCCTCTACACTGGAAGAAGAGTTCCCTCCAGACTTACTGGAAAAGACAAGAGGGGATAAAAAAAAAAAAAAAGAAGAAGACAGAAACAGAGCTTGGTATTAATGCGGAAAATGCCAGAGAAGGTGTGTAAAAAGGGTTAGTGATGAGGAAACTGCAAAGGAAGAGAGCAAAGTGATCAAATAATCACATTTTATTCAATTTAATTAAAATTTGTGGGGCTGATATGTGATTTCTTTGACAAATCACTCACAACAGATCCTGTTTTTTTTCATCAAGATCCATAACCTATTCTGTGAGAAACCAAGGAAAATGTTGATTGCGTCCCGTCTCGCAATGTGAAATTAGATTCATGGTTCTGCACCAAACTTTGATGGGTTCTTCCGTGGGTCATGTCGCACTCCTCCACAATATTTCTCGGAAATCGATTGCACTACTTTTGCTTGGGGCAAAAAAAAATCCTTCATTGATATCACTACCTCTACAACTGAGGTTATGTTTTGACCCCGTTTGTTTTTCAGCAGGTTAAAATAAAAACTACAAAACAGATTTCCTTGGATTCCCCGTAGGATTTAGACAAAAGGGGCAGATGCAGGATTATGTTTTTCATCTCTCCATATCATTTTCTTTTTTTCTTTTTTTTTTACATTTTCCCAGATTTCCCAGAGAATAGTTCATGGATCTTAATGAAAAGAATCAGGTACATTAAGTGGACTCATATCTATTTGTATGCAATGTGGTGCCTTGTTTTTGCTCATTTCACTACAGGACGTCCACAGTAAATGCATCCGAGAAACACAGGTACAATCTTAACCATCACTCTTTGCCATTTATAATTTGATCTTTTCAACTTTAGCTCCAAATTCCATCTTAAACACCATTTATTGTCACTATTTCCCCGATTGTCAGACTTCCATCATCTCTAGAAGGCAGTGTTTCTCAGTTACAGTGAAAACGTGGTCCTGGTTAAAGGGGTTCAAACGTCTTTGTCCGTCTGAGACACGCTCGGTGACAAAAAGCCACAGGAGTCAAACGAGTAAGTGAAACGCTGAGGCACCGCAGTCGAGTGGAATTAGTATTAAACTCAACAACGAGGCTTGAAGGAAGTGCATGTGAGTTAATGTACGAGCTCCGGACGACAGAACCTTCAAGACACATTACACACACACACACACACACACAAGGAAACAGCGAGGCTGATAATTACAGCTACAGAAGCCGTTTCACTGGTGCAGTCGACGTGAGTGGAGGTGATGGAGTGAACAGAGTCATGAGCAGACTTGGGTCAAAGTAGATCATAGTCTAACAGGTAATGAGCCTTTAACAGGGGAGTTAACGGACAGAATGTACACCTCCTGATCGTCTATAAAGGTGCTTTCAGACGTGCACTGAAGTTCGAACATTTTCTGGAAAGTTTCAGGAGGGTCTGTAAGTGACAACGCAAAAGACGAGGACGTCCACTTGGATTCGAGAGCTTTTGGCAGAGTTCAAAACGGCATTTGTCTATAAACCAGATCTGCTCAGGAACAGACAGATTCATACTGTCTCTGACAACATGTACATGAGTCGTTTTTTGTGAGGGTGATGAACACAGTTTGGGTGCGGAGCAGAAGTCATTTCTTAAACTTGTAATTTTTTACACAAAATCAGGGCTATGTTATAAAACTGATGAACTAAAGAAGAGACATATTCATGAAACTGCTCAAATCAGGTTGCAATTACAATTACTTTTATTATTAATTACTATGTCAATCATTTTTTCAATTAATCAATCAATAACTTTCTCTCCGTAAATATCAGAATATCACGTGTACAAAATATAAGTTTATAAAAGTCACACAAAGAAGAATTTGTAATGTCCTCTTGAGGTTGTCTAGATTTTAGACGTTACACCTCAGACATGACCTCAGTGTGTCCAGAGGCAGATTCAGGCATGAATAACAAATACCAAATTATTATAGCTTCAAATTTCCTCGCAATTTTACAACAGACACCCAGGGAGTTGGATGATGGTTGAGGAAAGCAGGTAAAGTAAAAATTTAGGGAAAAATTTGTTTGTTTATATTCCATCTTTTCACAGATTTTATTTTTTATCTCCACATATGGAATGGTTCTTGGATGGTTTTGTTTCGTGAGGCGAGTGTGTTTTCCTGTGACTCACCCTTGGACTCGCCCTCTCTTTTGCTCCTGCTGGAGCCGGATGTTCTCGAGCTTCAGGGGGCTGGGGATGAAGCCGATCTCACAGCCCTCCTTCACCAGCCGACCGATCCACCAGTCATTGTTGAACTTCTGAGGACGATAACATTAAGGCGCAAAAGAAAAAAAAAGGAAAATTGAAAAACTTCTCCAAATGCCAAATGAGTATTTGGTATCAAAAATATTCAGGTAGGTGTCGTATTTAATTAAAAACCAACACATCACCTCTTTTATGTGGAGGAAATCCTTTGCGTCGAAGGAGATGGCTGTGGCTGGGACTGGAACATCCTCATCCAGGGCACCACAGTAGCTGACGTTGGTCCTTACTGCAAACGCCACAGGTTTAGTCTAGAAGACGGAGAAACACAGTCATCGAGAATATTGATGTATTCATAGAATACTAATGGCATAACAGAACATTTAATGGACAGTTTTTGTGAACGTGACGGCAGAAAGATTAACTCAGCGTGGCCAATAGCAAAACGTTGTTTTAGACATGAACTTTGTGAAAAGTCCAGCAAATTGGGTGTGGACATTTTCCAGAGTTTGTCTTTCACATATACATCGACAGCATCTTTAGTTTCTTTAGTTACAAACAGCCACAGATGAGTTTGAGTGCCACAGCTCGGCTACCTTGGCTCTCTCCAGTTGAATGGAGGCCTGCTGCTCCCTTTCCTGGCGGCTCTGTCCCGGTCCTTGGCTCTGGCTTGGGCTCTGGCTCTGGACCTGGGCCTGGACCTCCCGCTCCTCCTCCAGAGAGACATCTGAGTCTGATGGTCTGCTAGTGTATGAATCAGCTGAGCCCTGCGGAACGGAAATCACACCTGAGGTTAGAGAAGCTGTGATGAAAAACTGAGAATAGAGACCTGATGATTTTGAAATGTTATGGGGGAGTGTTGGGACTGAAGCGATGGGACTCTAGACCAGACTAGACCAGTAAAGTGAGCAAATCTCCAATTAGAGTAACGGCAGCCTGGACTGTAAATGACGTGATATCATTAATCTTTAGTCAGAGTGGGACTGATGCACTGTAGCTTTCTCCCATTAACCATTAACAATCAGAACTTCTGATAACAGTGAACTGACAGATGACTGTCAGAAGTTTTGGGGTTTTGCGTCGGTCCTGCCAAGTCCTGAGTGGTGGCTTGGCACCGCGACTGCAGACCAGGTGAAATGAAGTAGAGGAGAGCAGACTGCCAGGAGCATCTGAGACAAAGTGGAATTTCTGTTCCAGTGCCGTCAGCAGTTTGCATGAACACACACGGCCAAGCTCGCCTGGCGATTTTTCTTGGTCCTGTTGCGAGCAATCATCAGTTTAACAATTTAACTTTAAATGTAACATTATCCAAAAATGACAGGACTGAGTGACAATGTTAAATAAAATGTGAATCATTTTTCTTATATAAAATGTGAAAATGAACGCACATCTTTTCTGCATGGTTTATTTTGAATAATAAAAGTTAAAAATGCATATTTAATTGATGGATTTGGAATCACCTTCTTTCAACAGGGGTAAAAATACAAAATCAGTCAAAACCCAAGTAATTCAAAAGTGTGAGAGGGACCCGGTGTCTGATTATATGATATCTGATTTCTGAATTTTCTGCATTAACGCCGCTGAATCCGTCAGGGAGGTTACAGAGGCTCCGACAGTCCATATCAAAATTGAATTTTTAAGGTTTGTGATTTTGTTTAGTTTTCTTCTCCATTTTCTAGCACTTCAGGGATTTTTTAATCACTCCAGTCTGTTGAGGCATCTCTGAGATTTCCAGTAATGCAATTTATTTCTTTTTTCTTTTTGCTTAGATGTAACTGGACCAAACTTGCTTCGCTCTGCTGTGTAAATCTAAACACTCAGCCACTAATGATGATTCAATTAAGGAAGACCATTAGTCTCGAGGAGATCAATCAAGCTCGTTGTCATAGCTAAGCACTTTTGGCTTTTTACAAGCGAGCGGAGCCAGCGCCTGACTTCAGCACGCCGCTCATCTGTGCGTGTTAATCACAAAGTGCCTCGTCCAGGAAAAGCCAAATTTGAGAAAACACACACATTAAAGGAGAAACAGGAGAATATGTTTTTTCTATGTTATATGTTTAGAGCATTCCACTAATTCTACACATTCAAATCAGTTTTTCCAGTTGTGTGACAGGAAAATGACCTATGATGATGTCAGAGTGATGTCATCAAGGTTATCTCCATTTAGCAGTGGACAATAGGACGAAAGCCTGTGTCATTATGTAAGATTTGAAAGGCAAGGACGTTTATTAGAGAGGAAGTGTGTCATGAAAAGACACTTGAGTTGCATTATGGGAATTGTAGGATTCCAGTATTTTGGGGGTTGAACCCTCACTAGAAAATAATTGAGGACATCTTGCTCTTTCCAGTTTTTCCATCTCTCAGGTGTACAACTCACACAACAATATGAAAACACCGTTTACTGTCTGAAATGTGTCATGTTGTCATGATTCACGCACGCCCCAACACCGTGTGGAAGCTTTCGAGATTGCACTGTAGCATCCCAGCCATTATCCAATGGAGTAGCTCCGGCATGTGACTCATCAGCATCAGAGTCCACTTAATGACATCACGATGCATGTTTCAGCAAGCCTCGGCGGAGCCCACGCGTCACGCAGTCGCAGCGTCAGGCACAAAAACGCTCGGCTGCACATTTTGTTTTTTAGAGAAAAACAAAGGGGATGAATGCAGAAATGTGACGTGTGAGGATTTGTCGTGTGGTCGTGCGACGGGCCTTGAGGGGAGAGACGGGTGCTTTAATGTTCCATCTTCTTTGGAACAGAGGTGATGAGCACTAAATGGCTCCTCCTGGCTCTGGTGGTTCCCTCACGGCACAGATCGCAGCCACACACACGCATTTGGAGAAATATATTCAGGAATGCGTGAATGTCACACGTCAGAAGCCATCTGCCTAATGTGCACCCCCTCCCCATCACACACACACACACACTAACACCCACCCACCAACCCCCTTCCAGTCAAGCATAACCTACGATCACGCTCCGGTGTGCTGTTGGATAAAGAATTAAAGGCCTTTTGTGTGTGTGTGTGTGTGTGTGTGTGTGCACAGCTGAGCCACTTCCATCAATAAAGCACAAAAGCAGATTATCCCCCACACACACGCACACATCCAGACACTCACCGCCTCCGAGTCTTCAAATCCATGCAGGTACAAATTGTCATACATGGAGGTCTGATATTCCAACGAGTGCCTCTAGAAGAATGAGGGGGGAAAAAATGAAGAGTGGAGGCGGAGGCGTGAGGAGGGGGCACCAGAGAGCAAAAAAAAAGGATGGATGGGAGGGATGACGACTATCCCTTCCCTCCTCAGCAGAGAAGAATAATTTATATATATATAAATAAAACAATATCTCTCCTCCCGTCGGATCACGCCTGGTCCTCCTGAGGCCCCGTCGCTTGATGGATGCAGCTTCTCCCTGATCCCACAGTGCTGCTGGCCGGCTCACATTATAGGATGGAGAGGCTCTCCCTGGAGGTAGCCCAATACTGGCATTTCATTTCATTAGGCGTCCGCACACACAAACACACGGACACACACATACACACGCACCCACACAGACACACACATATACATATACACAGCAAGAGGAGCAGAGGAGCAGAGGCAGCAGCAGCAGAGCGGTGGATCCTTCCTCAATATCCAAGCCTGATGACACAGCCAATGTGCACGGAGCTGATTGGCTGGCTGGATGTCCACTCAGCTTGGATGAGCGTCTCCTTGATTTTCTTTTTTTTTTTTGTAAGTGCAGGAGGTAGCGGGGGAGGGAGGAGTGAAAGAGGGGAGCAGCATCCTCCATTTCCCCGTTTCCTCTCATCCATACTCTGCTTATCTATTCTCTCTTGACAGCAGAAATACATCCCTTTGATTTGAATGTATAGATTTGATCCACGTGTTAAAATGACTTGAGAATGAAATCATGAGTGGCGGAGCCACTGCTAGAGTGAAAATACAATTTGGTCCAGGGCCGTGACCAGGACTTTAGAAAATTCCCCCCTAATGCATCCCACCTGCTTTTTTTTCAATATTTGCGTTTCTAATATTTCATTTCTACATTTAACTACCCAATTATATTGTCTATAAATTAGACGTCTCAAAAATACTTTAATTCTGGTTGAAAGCCGTCTACACACTGTCAGGAATGAAAATCATTTCTGGTGAAAAAATCTTGAATCCAATACTGTTGTCAAAATGGTTGGTTGGGGGCTAGACTGTTTTAATTTATTTTATTGTTTTTATAGTTTTTAATGCTTCTATTCTGTAGTATTTTAAATGAAAAGTCTGTTTCATTAGTTGATTAATATAAATATGTCTACTTTGGGATTTGGAGAATTGGGATGGCCACTATCTTGTGTTATGGTCCGAACAGATAATTAATCAATCAAAAACATTCATCGTTAACCAAGTTGACCATTAGCTGCAGGCTCTTATATTGAAAACTGTGAAGTAAACGAGTTCACTTCTAGTGCAGCAGCAACATTATCAGGAAAACATGCATCACTTTTTTATGTGTTGCCTCATTTTCGTTTATGCTTTATATAAGAAAATATTTTCTCCTCTTTTATTGGTGCCCTCTTCAGGCGATGTCTGTGATGTGCTGATATATGTGATAGAAACAAAATATGCACATCATGATATTATTGTACAGCACAAGTGGTATTAGCAAATGACACAGGATGCATTTAACCATGACACAGGTTTTACTCTATGAAGCTGCTGCCCAAATACTGATTTAAAATAACGTCAAAACAATAAAACATGCACTAATCCTGAGAGTGAATTAATCAAATGTATAAAAAGACTTTTAACGCCTCTTTGAATAGTCAGTGTGGATCTCACTGCTCTCTCTCTCTCTCTCTACCTGTCTGAGGATGAAGCTGGTGGACGTGGTGCTGCCGTCAGACCTCTTGAGTCGACTCCTCCTCGAGTAAGTTCCTCGATTCACCTGCAGGAGAACACGCAAAATAAAACATGACGCGAGGTGTCATTCATATACAAAGCGCTTGGTACTATATCTTATACTTACTTGCTAAATATCTTATTTTAGAATAACTTATTTGACGTGCTATTTGAATGTTATAGTTTGGCCAATGTCCCATCTGCTAACATGGAGGAGGCAGGGTATATGAGTAACACTGCAGCCAGCCACCAGGGGGCGATCAAGACGCTTTGGCTTCACTTCTGGGGAGCTGTCATGTCGTCCATCTTTATTTCTGTCTATGCTCTTCACTCATCTGTGATATTTTTATTCTTATATTTCTGCCCTATATCTTGACGTTAAAATGATATATAAATAAACTTTATCATAAATAATATTATCATACAGCATATTTTTACATTATATCTTCGTCTCGCCTACTTTTTCTACACCTCCTGACTTTCGTCTCTTTCTCTTCCCAAAGTCCAAATATACCAGCAGAGGTCGTCTCCAGGGAGCGAAACTAATTATCTGCCAAGTGATTTGCCCCATTTCTGTTCAAGCCTCCAGAGTTAATGACAATGTCACCGTAAAAAAAAAAAAAGTGAGAACCTACTTCTCTGAATTTATAAAAACAGGGCCATTAATCTGGGCCAGCATCTCTCTCTTCTGTCCCTCAGTTCACGCCTGCGGCCAAAAGCTGAGCAGACGTATGAAGGATAAAGTTAGAAGCTGCAAGTCTATGAATATCCTGTGATTAATGTCTGTGAGCTGCTCCAGTAAAAACTGAGTTATCAGACATCTTCCAGAGGCTGATCTTTATACTTGACATACACTGCAAAAAACTGGAAGTCACTATTCAATCACTATTAAAGTTTAATGCTAAAGGTTGTAGATGAGGCAGGACCTGGTTGATGACCTTCACATGCATTGACACAATCACCAGGAGAATATTGCAGAAAGATCACGAGATTGAAAACGGTTCTTCAGGAGGACAGTATGAGTCCAGTTACTGTGTGACGTCTAAAACATGCTTTTATTGTCAATATCTGATTTGGGTCAGAGCAGAAGTGCAAATTCTAACTTTAGGTAAAATGTTAAT